GCGCAAACCTTTCTTCCACTTCCTAACTAAGTCATCATGCATCATGTCAAGGAATGACCTGTGAATCAATTATTGCGCCCAGAAGAGATGGTCATCGCAACATCATGTAGCTAACGCCTTAGGTGTACCGTCATCTGATCGTACCAAGTCTCCCAATTACGATCACATTTCAATGACCAGTGGACGGTAAAACACGGAGTAAGCGCAGTCTTGCATTCTGGCGATTCAAACGGGATCTATCATGCCAATTTACTAGATACTTGTCCCTCACTTGGAAGGGTGTATTACTCGGACACGTTATATTGTTCATTTTAAACGAGTATAGAGAGGTATGGGTTTTGGATTTTGCTTACTAGTTTTATCCATACACACCTCGTAATGCCTGACCTTGATCAGCAAATAAATCATGTATGCCTCACGCCTTGCATAAATCCTTAGGATTTCACACTTTAGCCTCCATGCCTATGCGCACTGCCACAATCACCGCCTCTCTGAGATCAACCCCTTGATAATAATAGTTCGACAGGGCCATGATGTCATGTAGCACATGCGCGGAATGTAGAGAATAGACTTGGAAGCCTTCTAGGGTTTCTGGAATGTCGCAGCCTGGCATGCTGGCTGTAACCGCTAATATGGAACATTCAGCACTGCGCCACCAGAAGTAGGAAAACTCAGGGGTCTTGCAGTCGGTTGTAAGGAGTTATATGCCCATAGCCAAGAAGATTGCCGGCGACTTTCGATCCGATCTGCGCAAACAAGGCGTCTGCTGGATATGCTGGGGAGGTACGGTTTGGCTTGATTTCGTGCACTGTACATTCTGGATCATGAGGCCGACCAGACGCCGTAAATGAATATTTACAACCGGGACCGAGTTTATTTTACCGCCCAACCCAACGCCTAAACGAAATAAAACAGAAGAAGGGGAGCCTTTATTGCTCGCCATGACTCTCGCCAGACGAGGCGAGCAGTTGGAACCCCTTGACTAGTCCCATTGCTGATCCGGCTGCGACACCCCCCACAAGGACCATTTGCATGCCGCCGATGAACCCTCGTCGAATATTCTGTCTGCCCTTCCAACCGCTCACGAAGCATGTCTTCCCGTACCCGAAGAGAAATAGTGCTATAGTCATAGTGGCGATGGACCAGCGCAGCGCAATGAATGCGTCATGCGGCCCGACGAAGAAGTAAGGAAGGAGCGGCACGAAGCCCCCAATGAAGTAGCCTAACGCGATGGTCAAAGCGCAGATGAGTGCCCGGGAGCCGGATGGTTCAGGAAGGGTGTGGTGGAAGTTCATAAGAAATGAAGGGAGCATGGGGGAGGCAGACAGGTGATCGGTGAGTTGTGAGACGAGTTCAGATGGGAGGTCGTAGGGCGCGAAGATTTCAGAGATCGTCTCTATTGTAGCGGATGGGTCTGCAACAACTTGGCTTCGAGTCTCTTTGAGGGTAGCTCGGTAAGATTCCCTGGAAGCGAAATATCAGCCAGGCATCTGGAGGAATCTGCATAGACACTTCAGCACTCACTCTTCGCTCTTTGCGCCTAAATATCCACCCAGTCCCATAGAGATAGCTCCAGCAATGAGCTCTGCAAGACCGCCAAAGACAACAACTTTCGTATCTCCTAGAGCAGACAATCCCGCAGTGAGAGCAAAAGGAACCGTTAAGCCATCCGATAGACCGATAATGGCATCTGAAACTGTCCGCCCATCAATCATTTTAGACTCTTTCTTCTCTGAGCCTTCTCTTCGAATTGGCTTGTTTGCTTCACTCCCACTCGCAGATTCCAGATCTTCGGATCCATTTCGAAGTGGGTAATGATATTCCTTCTCCAGGTCCGACGACTCGCTGACTGGCGAGTAGTTGGAGAGTAATCCTTTAATGGAACTGAGAGACATGTTCCGTCGATTCTCTAGTTTGGAGGCTGCTAGAAGACGAACGATCTGGAATCGATGTTGCAGTCGAGACGAATATTCACTTAAACCGAGGTGACGGCTTGATTTTGAGTAGATCGAGTATCCAAGAGCTCATCGCAAGTTACTCAACAGAATGTCGGCCCCAACTCTCTTAAATCTCTTGCGAATAAGCAAGTTTCTGGCGAGAAAAATTCTGAACGAATCAAAGAATCACAAGCACAATCTCTGGACCTCTGAGAAGGCAGATTCAAGATTCTTGACCACTCTTAGTGGAGATAATCTCAACCCCCATTACCCAGTAGGTCAAAGCAAGTGAAACTAAGATAATACCATGTCCTCTAGAATCTAAACGACAAGAAAAGAGGGGAACGATGCGATCTGAACACGACAGTTTTGCCATGGAAAGTCCCGAGAAGACTTGCTTATCAGAACTCCAACCGACCACGCAGTACGAGCACGAGCCTATTGAGAGGACATGACCAACAACGTGCTGCCTGCTCTGGCGGTCAGATGCAGGCGGAAGAGGGGGTTTCCTTGGCACGTGGGCGTGTGATTCGTTCAAAGATGCGGGAGGCAACGCCTCAATGGTCAGCTGGATCCACTCTTCCGCGGGGTTCCTGAAAGCTTGCGATAGCTTGTGATAAACCACTTTTCTGTATTAGAATTAGCGTGGCTTAGCAGGGCCAGTCAGGAATCATTCTTATCTACATATGCTGGCTGATTGGGGTTGCGGTTCTGCTAATAATCCCCCTTCCTCTAATGCGGTTAGATCATTCTGATTTACATAGCTCCTCTTGATCCCATCTCGACTCTTAACCATCAGAGATATACTCCGTATAATCTTTATCAACTCGTCGAAGTTCTAACTTGCAACAACAGCTATCGGCCGGATCACATATTGAATTCTTCATATGCACCCAGGCTTGACCAGTCTCTCAGCAGCTAGCAACTGTGCTGTTGGCTTCTGGCCACCGTTCTGTGCCTGAGATGGCATCTTCTCACGCGACCTCGAGTAGACATATTGTGTCTATGCTCTACGAAGATAAACTCTTTCAAGTGGACTTATCTGCTTGATTACAAAGTATTCGACAGTCTATTGAGACGAGGTGTTCTTTTCAGATCTGGCGAATACCTTCCACAACCGATCTTCGTAGAACTATGAGCTCAATTTTCTAGCCCTTTAGAATGACGGAATGAAGGGTAAATGAGGTTGTAGACAGAGACGGCGCATCCTAAAGCTATTATAAACACTACAGCTACAAAGTTCGCATACGACTCTAGACACGACGTTTAGAGACTTACCACGGAGCTACAACATCAATTCTGTCCGCAGTCATACGGAGCAAAGCGTGAAGATGTCTGCTACATTCAGTTCGGACAGATCGAGGCCGTAAATCGTTCCCATGTTGGACGAAACATCGTCTGAAGATGTGTACATCGCGAAAAACAGTAGTAAGCCCATTGGCGAAGTATGATTGATAGAGAAAGGATTCAAGCCAATAAAGTAGGAAAGCAAGCATGCCACCCTATTAATTGGTCAACCAACACCAGGAAGGATCATCTTCCATCTTCAATAATGACATTGACAAGAATACGTCCCAACCTCTTAATTTCACGATTTCGAGTACCTGATGCAAATATTAATTAGTCCTGAAAAGGCCGCCCACAACAACGTATAGTCCAAACTCACGGTTTCCTCTTCTCTGTCTCTGTCCCCGCCGTCGAGCCCGTCATATTCCAAAGACGGCTCTTATACGCCGGAAACGAGGTGTGATTCCAAATGTTGACCAAAATACTATCACATATCACAGTCAGCCACAATCATCTCAGAATCTTGACTACCTTCTGCCGACACTATGCAGCCGTTCGGGGTAGTCTCTATCAGGCGAAAAAGCTCACCTCTGGCTCCGATCTACATAGTCCTCCTCACTCAGCTCCTTCACCCCAACTTTCACCCCATCCCTCGTGAGCATAACGTGTTTCTTCTCCATTTTCGAGCGAGTATTCTTGCCGACTTCTTGGGCAATGCTGTACGCAATGTACCCGATAACGGAGAAAATGATGACGGCGACGAGGAGGATGATGAGAGGAATGAGTGACTGCATTTTGCTGTTTATTTTGCCTCAATCCAAGCAATTAGAGGATCTGTAAGTTATTCAAAATGGAGAGCAGAGTGATGCTAAATTTCTGCAGAAGTCTGTGCCTTTATTAGTATTTTCAGGTAAGTCAAGTCGTAGGGCTGAGCTGAGTGGAGAGGATGACGTCGATCAGGTGCGGTGGCTGAATGACTTGAACATGAGACTTAAGAGACGTACCTGTGGCTTTGAGTGAGAACTTTGATTTCGGGAATGATCCTTAAAAGGACTAAATGAGACAAAATGAAGCCTTGAGGCAATACCCAAATTTAAATGTGAAAGGGTGAAAAAGAGGGCAGATTGTGATATGTGTATGGGCGAACCATCAATCTGATCGCCAAGGCTTTTTGGTGGGCGGGGTGGCTTATAGGAATTCTGGTGCCTAGATATCTCTCTGCGAAAAAATGCCCCTTTCTGGTCAGTATGCAACTTTCGGACTGGGCGCACTCAATCACGTTACCTATTGGCTGTTTTAAAACTCATTCTCCAGCAGGGGTAAATCTCTTTTGATTGGTATGATATGTCGGAGTTAGATTGTCAAGTGGCTACTGTGGCTGCAAGTGCAACTCAACGGCTGCGCCTTGATATCAGAGTCGAAAACTATACACAGTACCTAACTGTCAAGTCGAAAATGCCCTGATGCCATAATTTCAGGCCTAGATACTAGAAGGATTCCAATAACTCCAGGTTCAACCACCTAGAGAGGCACAAACTGTACATTCTTTCTCTTACTGCATTCCCAAAGGGATCCTTCTGCGCTGTGTCTCTGTCGTCATCATGAATCATCCGCGCAATACCGACTTCTCGCTCATAAGGTATGTAAGGAAGTAAGGTATCCATACGAAGTATCAAATGTCAGTAGTTTCGCTTGACTATTTGTATCGAACGACTTCAAGCCGTATTCATCCATTAATCACACCGGGTCCAATCTATTCTATACTCAGTGATCAACATGTCCGGCCCCTTCATCCCCATCATTCCCCTCTGCTTCCAATGCGGCACGGACCAGAATCCCTGCCGGTGCAAATTCGTCGGACCGACATTAGGTATGGGATCCTTTCAAGGAGTAAAGGGATGAACTCTCACGAGCGTTTCGATAGGATTCATCACGACTATTGTTGCTGCTGTATGAAACTGCTGTACTTCGTGGTAAGATGTTTAAAGCATGGACTGACATGCGCAGGTTGTTTGCTATCCGGCGTCTCTCTTTTGCGGTTGTTGCTTCACGAAGACCGGGAAGGAGTAAGTACTCTGCTGGACTGCAAGCTGCGCTCAAGGGATTGTTGGTTGACTGTTCATAGCATGTTGGGGTTTCCGGTGAAGTTGAATGGGATTGTTTCTGATGCGATACCAATATAGTTTTGACTCGTTCATGATGATGTCGGCGTATATTAGGTGTATATTCCCTATCTGTTTCTGAAATATACTAGTACGTCAGATGTCTTAATCTCTCATCGAGAATGGTGGTAATGATGTAGCACTATATAATGAGTACAGGGGAATGAAAGACATATGTATCATGTTATTGGGCTTCCAGAAGAATCAGTTTTGTCGTAATCCAGCTGACGTCGCTCTACTCCTTACTAGGGCATTGTCTAGCTTCATTTACAATACTTCGTTATCATCCATGTCATTACAATGGTAATATTATTGGAACTTTGCAACGCAAGTGAGAAATCATCTGCAGCTCATTATATTATCAACCATTACCATTCGGAAGGAGACAAACAAGCAATGAGGTATACGAAATCGTCATGAACAAAGTAAGCAATAGAGGTATCCAGAGAAATCAACCCGCCCATTTGGTATCATCCATCATTCTTGCCCAACAACGTGGCCTGTGTTCGTCTACTTGAGCTTCTCCTTGAGCCGGGACCAGAAGCTCTTCTTTTTCTTCTTCTCCTCCTTCATCCCATTCCTCAGGCCGTTGCGTTGGCCTGTTGGCTTGGACGGACCGTTAGTGGCGCCTGCTGTCTGCGCCTGAGGAGCGGTGGTGGCGGGAGCCGTCGTAGGTTGTGAAGGGGCCGAGGTTCCTTCGGTCTGGCGCTCAGAAGGAGCGGCAGCTTTATCGGGAATTGAGCTAGGCATGACTGTTGTGGAGCCCTCACTTTGACCGGTTCTGGCACCAGCCCCAGGAGCAGCTCCAGGACCAGAAACTTCCGGGGCCTTCGCTGAAGCAACACCGGTGGTAACAGTAGGACCTTGAGGGGTGTCGGCACCGGGAGACATTGGCTGCGATTCAGGCTCGACGCCTGTGGCTCGAGGAGCGGTCTCAGTGGTGGCGGCAGTGGCAGTGGGAGCAGGCGCGCCGGCATGTTCTTCCTTGGGGACTGTCTTCTGCAGCTCATCCTCCATCTCCTTCTTCTCCTCGACGGCCTCTGGATTAGCAGCGGCCTCGGGGTCCTTGTGAGCTTCGGCAATGGAGTGCTTCACTGGTTCAGGCACTTCATCGGCGGGTGCTCCGCCGCTCGTTTGAGTTGAACCAATGCCAGCAGTGGTGCTCGGAGCAGGTGTACCACTAGACTCTTCCTTGGTGACTCGTTTTTGGAGTTCATTCTCCATTTCCTTTTTTTCTTCGACAGCCTCCTTGTTTGCAGCGGCCTCGGGGTCTCTGTGGGACTCGGCGATCGATTCCCTCACGACTTTCGGAACCTCATCAGCTACGTCCTCAGCAGTCCCGTGGGGCCTCTGAGACTCGAGTGGGACAGAAGCAGCAAGAGCGGCGGTTGTGGAGGTGGGTGCTGCAGACTGGATGGTAACACCAGGATCACTGAATCCCTGACTGGGCTCACCCATGGAAAGGCTAGATTCGGGAATCATGTTGCCGGAAACAGGAGGCATTGCGAGGTCATTGGCTCCCGTCGACTGGCCCGCTGACAGGCCCTTGAGAACAGTAGCACCACTGGGATCCTGAGCGTAGCCGGCAGGATCTGTCCGAGCAGTAGACTGGACGGTGTTCCTAGTGTAAGTGCTGGGGTCGGGTACCTTCTCACCAGGTTTCAGACTGATTGGATTGCCGCTGGTACCCGAAGCCGGGATAGGGTTGACGGAAAATGTTTCTGCTTCTTGTCCAGGAGTCTCTGGGAAAGTACCGGGCACGTTGGATCGCTGTTCAAGGGGAACAGCCTTGGCAAGCTCTGCAGTTGTCGATTCAGGGGCGGCGGATGAGATGGTTACCTCATTGGCCCTCTTCTCAGTATCCTTGTGAATACCGGCCGCTATTGCCGCTTCGGTCACTTCTGGAGTAACAGTCGCCATTGTGGTACCGTTGGTTTGTGGAGAATTTGATGCTTGTTTGAGTTGACCGGGGTAGAGAACGTTATTGATATTCCCGCTTCCGTCGTCCTCTTCAGCAGCAGTGCTATCCGTCGTCCAAATGCCGTCGACGACGAACTTTTAAAGTCAGATAAATTTTGTTAGTTGGGTCAACAACGAGAGATACTCTGACGTTGAAGGTTGTCTTATAAGTCAAAAACTGGAAGCTGGGCGAGCCAAAGAAACCAAGGTGAGAGCGAGGCGGTGATATGACGTCAGTGGAAGTAAGCGGAAAGCCTTCCAGCGTCATTGAGGGGATGGGGAAGCGTAGGCAGACAGAAAAGATCCATGCAATAGTAATACGGTTGTCCAGAGATGTATGCATCAAATTGACAGACGTTCAATGTAATTGAAATAAAGTACAGCAGTGAATGGGGAAAGGAAAACGATCTCAGATCGCTACCTACCTTGTAATGCACTTTCTCGTCTGCAGATGGAAGTTGAACCTCCTTGGTAAAGACATCACCATTGCGATCCAACTTCACCGTTTTACCCCAATCATCAAAGCTGCCTGTGACAAATACCTCGTTCGCCGGGTGTGGCCTATAATCCAGCCATATGCGAGAAACCAGTCAGCCATCGATTCTTCAAACGGTTATTCGTGTACCGAGTTCCCGACTTTAGCCATCGACGATAGGGACTGATCGGCTGGGGCGCAGGAGACCACAGCTAAAAAAGAAGCTCAAATTCTACGAGATATTAGAAAGGAAATCTCCCGTTGACTCACCATTGGAACGTGTAGCTTCCCATCTTCCAGCGCGATGTAGACATGCACTGTAGACTGGCGGCGATGTATGATAGTCGGACGAACGAGTACTCCGCTGGGTTGCGCAGAGACTTGCTGCAGCTGTAGAAGCAAGGGATCCTCAATTTCCGCGTTGCGCCTCTTATTGAACGTGCTGACACACTGTCTGACAGATCCTCTTTATAATTCCTTGGTCTTTGTACTTTGGCTCTCAGCCAAGCTATGAGATATTAATTATTTGAGAGGCTGGAAAAATCGAGCACGGTGACCACCTTTTTTTTTTGCGCTGGGGGATCTAGAGCTTTAACTTGGAGCGGGGTGGCGGTGACACAGACCTTTTGGGTGATTCGGTCGGCCTCAATCAAGGATTCTGATAGGCCTCGATAGCATCAATGACAATTGGCAGTCGAACTTTTCGCTTCTCTTGTGAACTACCCTGTTCTTAGCTTGAGGTATGAAGATTCCGTGTAGACCGCTTTATCTCGAACGCGAAAGAATCAAGAAGGTCAGTGAATAAAAGCTATATCGAGACGAGACATGCTGCTTATCCGGGAGATCCATTATGTATGGTCTCGGAGGAAATGACCTTTTTATGTGCCCTATCTTTATGAGTATTGTACAACTCATCAGTGATGGGCTGGACTCGGGACAGCGACTGTACGTGCTTTGTACTGCCTTTTCCACTGTGCAGCAGTAGTCTCAGTGAAGCGGCAGGACAAGTTCAATGAAAATTGACACTGCAGTCTCAATACCCTTTAGTAATAACACCTCAATTTTTTCATCATGCGCATCATTAATATTAACAAGTAGATGCATCATTCAATCAATCTCCTGCTGGACTATACCTCAATGCGACCGAGGTACATTAGGTGTTCAAAACTGAGCTGCAGGAACCTTGTCACAACGGCCGTCGCTTATCACCTGCTCGGATGCACCACAGTAAGGTAGACTACACACAAGCCATACATTGCCTGTTTTGCTGCATTAAACTCACCGCACGTTCATGCTACTCTCCTTGGTTAGGAAACGTTGCAAAGATTGATTACCTTGAATGAACACAGCGCTCCAGTAGTAACACTAAGCAGGATAGATCCATCCCAACTTAGAAAAAGAAGCATACTATGAACCAATCGCTCCTAGGCATTAATTTTCCATCCTTGATCTTGGGTAACAATCAACCATCATCTCGAGCCAAAGCTACCTAGGTAACGAGACATCCATCCATGGCGGAAGCTCAGCAAAAACCAGAAAAGCTCAAGATTCAGAATGTAGTCAACCTCTTTTTACTGGGACGGACGCTCAGCGATACTTTGGTACCAGAAATCCATGAAGATGCGGAGCCGACACTCCGTCGCAGACGTCAGCGATTATTAACGTTTGATACTCATGACCTCACCAAGCTTGTAACTGATAGCTTTTCGCCACACAATTTTTCATCATTGACTTCAAGCCCTATTCGGGTGGTAAGTATCACTGAGAGTAGGCATAACTATAGAGTTAAATATGTTAAAACTACTTGTATAGAAGAATTCAGGTTTTCTCTCTAACCTATTCCCCCTTTTCCATCCCCCTATTGTGGGCAATCAGACACCCAGCGGAGTCCTCGGGAACATTTCTAAACTCTTAATCTGTTTTTAGACTCCGTTCAAACGTTCTAGAAGACACCTGGAAGAGAGTCACATTTCCAATAGAAACTTCCGTACCATGATTTTCATTGTTGGCGTTTCCTGGATAACTAGAAGGGAAAGAGCCAAGTCAAAAGGATCCCTTTCTTCAACTAGGTGTTGATTATCCCTCCTTAGCCTCTTATCGTCTGTTCAAGATCAGACTATTGCAGAATGTACCATCGACTATTGGCGTAGTGTATGGTCTAGCAGGGGGCAATCCGTGACGTCGATCTAACCTGGTGTGATGCAGGAGCCGACGACTTGCCATCACGTCTATCCTCGCGATGATCCTGAGTAGATCTCATGGAGCTAGGTAGCTGAAGAATACTTGACACTTAAAGGAGAGCACTTTATAATATGATTTTCTCTTGTTGTAATTGATAGTCTTCTGGTTAGATGTAGAAGCACAAGCCATAGCAAGCTTTCCGTCACATCCTGCTCCTCCCCGCCTTTTTCACTGATTCTCCCCCTCCTCCTTTCTGCGACCCCTCTGGACCATTTTCTAGGTATTGCTCCTCTCCCATCTTCCTTTCCACTTTGCTCAGAGTTCTCCTCTATTTTCTCTTGTCTCTTTCTCCTACCACTACTACCCCTGCCCCTATCTGCTTGGACGGTCTCACCTCGGCTACCGGGTGTCGTCTCTGTGACTTCTTGTCTCGGCTCAGTTAGAGTCATCATACGTCCGTCTCTCAGGAAACTCTTCACGCGACCCATCAATATAAGAGACAGCGTTTAGGTCGGTAGCTCCAATTCCGGTTTTCTCAAGCTTCAACTATCCCTTTTTCCCTTTCTTCCGTGTCGTACTTGTTGTCTATCATTTCTTGTCCAATACTTCCTGTTTCAAATCGTGTACGCAACTTCTTTCATCTGTCTCGGATCACTGAAACAAGACAAAAAGCAATCGTGCGTTCTGCTACTTTTCATCACTCAAAGAGAGGGAGCTGTAGAAGGAAGCATACGACCATCTTTGGGTCGCTGCGTTCTTAAACTCTCCAATTAGGCTTCACCTTGAGATACCCACCCAGTCTTTGGCGGAGACGGTTGCTCTGTCTCTCTCAACTCCCCGCCCCTCCTCACCACCATCCTCTGCTGCTCCAACTTCGACATTTCTCCTCCATAAAAGGCCTTTCATCCACTATCTTCTCAACTGAAGCTCAAGATCTGTCTTCCTTACTTTCTAACTTCCTACAGACCACCTTCGTCTCTGTCCTTCCAGCAGCTCTGCCCGCAACAACCGAGCTCTCTACCTCCCCCGCTCCAAAGTTGGCCGGAGCTGTACCATCTCCGGCCCTACAGCCCACAGGATGGCCGATAGCTCTTCTTTCCCGGGTACAAACCCGTTCCTTAAGGTCAGCACAAAAGACGACAAATATTCTCCGATTCAGAAGATATCCGAGGAGGAAGAATATGAGGTGACGTCACCGACCGATCCCACTTTCCGCAGTGCACACTCCGCCGCTACAGCGCCCACAGCTGGAAACACGTTTCCTGGAGGCAATGACTCCAGTGAAGTTGGTGATGGAATACAGTTCAATAGGCCCTTTGATGCAAGATTTGGTCAGGGGAGCGAAGGTCAAGGCGAACATCCCGAACCTCCTGGAGGAGCTCGCCCAACGGCAGCCGCTAACCAAGGGTTCCCTAACAACTATGCGCTGGGCCGCCGTACCTCTGTATCCGCCGAGTCCCTGAACCCTACCTCTGCTGGCTCAGATAGCTGGACACCTCCATGTCATCCGAAGACCGAAGAACAGCTTTCGCGATTGAAGACGGCTGTGAGCAACAACTTCTTGTTTTCTCACCTGGACGACGACCAATTCAAGACTGTACTTGACGCTTTGGTCGAAAAACCCATTCCTGCAAAAGATATCAAGGTGATTTCTCAGGGAGATGCCGGCGATTACTTTTACATCGTGGAGAATGGCCATTTCGATGTGTATATCAACCCCGCGGGCTCAGTCCAACCAGGCCCCGATGGTATGGGCAACAAGGTCAGCACCATTGGTCCTGGGGGCTCCTTTGGTGAACTAGCCTTGATGTACAACGCACCTCGAGCCGCGACTGTTGTCTCAGCAGACCCCAAGAGCACGCTTTGGGCTTTGGACCGCATTACTTTCCGCCGGATTCTCATGGACTCTGCCTTCCAGCGACGCCGCATGTATGAGGCTTTCCTGGAAGAGGTGCCATTGCTTTCTTCTCTCAAACCCTATGAGCGCGCCAAGATTGCCGACGCGCTCGATGCGATTAAATACCCAGCTGGTTCTACGATCATCGAGGAGGGCGCTCCAGGCGATGCTTTCTATCTGCTTGAGTCTGGGGAGGCGGAAGCTTTCAAGAAGGACGTGGAGGGCCCCGTCAAGTCGTATAAGAGGGGCGATTTTTTCGGAGAGCTCGCCTTGCTGGACGACAAACCTCGTGCCGCTAGCGTAGTCGCCAAGACCGACGTCAAAGTTGCACGACTTGGTCGCGACGGGTTCAAACGGTTACTGGGGCCTGTGGAGGATATTATGAGGAGGGCCGAATACTCCGCGAAGCCTTCGCCCTCGTGATGCAATCCGATAGATTGGATAACGTGGTTGACGTGGAGACATGCTTGGTCATCATCATTTTTAGTCCTTATTCTTGTACCTCGTTTATCATTCTCTCTTGGGCTCAACGGACAAGGTAAAGGCATGCTTGGTCTTGGGAATATGAAGCGATGAACATGAGAAACTCTCCGATGAATCATTCGGGTTTCATTGTCTTGTTACCGACATAGTAGATTGCCTTTCAAGTGTTGGGGTCACACTGAGGACTAAGTTTTATAACGTTTCATTTGTGCGACGTTGATGCTCGTGTGGGCCGAAACCGGTTTGTCCTTGTCTCTTTCCAGCATCCATCATTCTGTTCTCCCTTATGGGGGTAAAACATTGCAAACGTCCCTGTTACCATTACATCTCAGTGGCTGCTATTCGAAATTATTCCTTTGGGGTGGTCTGATGAGTATTGAAGGGATGGGCGGTGTGCAACATCCAGTATTGTGACTCTATAGTTTCCTTCTTATGCAAATATACACTGAATGCTTCTGACGAGCCAGTACTATTCGGCTTTGGTTTCTGAACATATATCTCACATGAATATTCCGCTTGTTGAATGATCAGGCTGGGTCCAGAGAAGTCCAGTCTCACGCCAATAAGCAACTCTATAAGCACAACAGCCTCGCACGTAGAATCCTAGCAACAACAGGTGAGACGTAGACAAAGGTCAACCAACATCCTTCACCGCGCAACCACCAAATCACTTCTTAAAACCCACTTCTCGCCCTCGGTGACCTCCCTCCCCTCATGCAGAAGACACCTCTC